TAGGAGAACACAAGAGATTTGATTGATTACTATTTTCTACTCTATGTATAATTGATAATTTATATTCTTCGGAATTATAAAACTATTATGGAATGTTTAGAAGGGAGACATCACCAATAATCATATCGAATCAATCATTTATTTGCCTACATTTTGTTGTATTCATCATCAGTATAACTTTATTATTAAATTTTGTGCTCACCATAATTATTGCACCATTCCTGCGTTTGGCCACAAGATGTAAGTAAAGCAAAATGTAGGTAAAAATAGCTAGACCTGTTTACCTTGCCAACATAAACCCAGTGAGCAGAGTTCATTAACTTTCATGTACAAAAGTCTCTCATTACCGTATAATCCCTATTAACCGCCCCTGCCCCTATAAGCGCCCCCTTAGGTCTTTTTCATTTGTCAGGAAATAAGGGCTCCCTGTACAGTGATTAAAATCAACATGAATCGACATTATCGTTTCAAAAAACTGAAGAAAGTGAAAATGAAACTTGTCTTTTATCCAATTTCTCAGTGGAAAATGAATTTAATTTAACATAATTTTGGTGGATTTTCTTCACTTTAAGTAGAGTTAGACAATATTATAGTTGTTCCTTGTATAAATTTTTTTTCATCAGGTTTTTTTTAAGTTAAAATATGACATTATATATCATAAAGAGAATACCAAAATAATCGCCCCCTTTTTGCAATTTTCTAAGCGCCCGGGGCGGTTAATACCCGGTAGGGATTATACGGTATTTTGAATTAACTGATCCATGCACTTTCCATTTTAAATTTTAAAATCGTCTCCCTTCCTTACGCAACTGTTCTGGAGAAAATTGGCCTGAGAACCAAAGAATTAAATTTATATAGCCTTATCTCACTAAAAATACAGTCAGTAAATACATGTAAAAAGCATTGACAAGTTTAGCAAATTAAAGTTAAAGACATTATGCTTATCATAAAGTTTTGTTGTTAAATAACCATTAAGGTCTTTTACTAGTACATATCCAATTATGAAACATAATTTAAGGTCTAAGGACAAAACAGCCGTGGATTCTATTTTAACCAATTTCTTAAAAAGTACTGGTGGAAAAAAGAATAATATTACTCTATTGACAACAATAAATGATCCCTGAAAGAAAAATAATAAGTTTTGGCATATTTGCATTATATTTTGTGAAAAAATCAGAGAATTCTATATATTGGTCATTTGGGAGCTTACATTTTGGAACGTGTTTATGCTATCTAAGTGCAATAAACAAGCATGTAACAGTCTGTTATAAAATGCAGTGTAACTTTTGTTCCATAAATAGTAGAGGGGTGATATTTGGACACATATATAAGGAGTCTCCATTCTTTATATACTACAAAGGTCAAGGTCATATCCAGAGGTTAAAGGTCAAATATTGTGACGTCATCTACTGAATCTTTCAGTTTTTTTGCCATTGAATTTTGTTTAATTGCCAAAATATCTTAAACCACCGGTTCAATTTTCTTTATTTTTACACATTTTTACACAAAAATTTTATACATTTTCTCTTAAGGTAAGTCACTCGTCATTTAAAAAGCTTTTATTCAAAACTACTTATTAAAATTCAATTTTTATAACATATTTAAATTCTACAATGTAAATTTTTTAAAAAAAACTGCTGAATTTCTTTTGGTGGAGGGATATTTACGAAAATTCTGCAAATCTGCACATTTATAAAATTTGAAATGTACCTTACTTTTAAACCGTTTTGATATTGCTAAAAATATTTAATATAGGTCTTATTTTATATTTTTAGACTAAGGTTTACACCTTGGTCAACAAACTTTTCCAAAAAATGCAAATATATTAAAGAAGTCAAGGTCAAATTTACACCATTTTTTGTGTCACATATTTTGACAAATATTTTAACATCACTATTATTTTAAACTACTTACTTGTGACTGATCCACTCAAGTCGTAAAAAGTTTTTAAGAAAATTTTTTATTGCCTATTAAGTTTTTTAATACCCCAAATATGTTATTTTTTAGTGCAAAAAGGTCACACAATAATTTACGCGCATTAATTTGCAAGATTTGTTTAATGATAAATATTATTCAAACTATTTTACGTAAAATAAGATTATATTTATTGCCATGCTTACATCTAATCAAATATAATAAGGGTTAAAGTAATTAACCAGAGATGAAATTTAAGTGCAAAAAGGTCAACTCAAATGTACCGTAGATCAGTAGGATGCACACTGACCCCCTATTTTCTTTGCGATTTTGAGTTACAATTTATGAGTACTTATCCAAAATATACTTCTCAAAAAATCCTTGATATAACAAATTTCAGGAGTGACTTACCTTAAGAAAACTTAAACTGTCGGATATTTACATGTAAATTTTCAGTTTCTGACACAGTGTATGTTCTATTTTATTTAATATTTTACCCAAATTTTTCAGTATCAATGTGACTTACTGATTTAAAGTAACAAAAAGGTTATCTTTATTTAAAGTATTACACAAATTTGCAATAGATCAATAGAAAATTCTAAAATAAGGCTCATTCTCAAGTCAAATGTCTGATTTCACAATCTTCTTACAGGGGTCTGATAGGCCATATTTCAGACTATGTGGGCAAAAAATGTGCGGTTGAATTTCTTTCATATCATATTTAAAGAGAGATTTTGTATCCAAGAACAAAATATCAAAGTTGCAGAAAAATTGAATTTGAGGAAAAATTTGACCTATCTATTTGGTCCTACCTTAACATATGTGCTGGACTCTGTGGTATGTTTTATTTCATACTCACTGTGATATATCGTATTAACATATGAATGGCAATAACCATTTTTAATTGACAATGCGTCGTTGCTATATCTAAATGATATGTTACACTAATTTTGTTATTGATAGTTGTAATATAAAATTTACGTGGAAAGACCTAATCAACATAAGCATTTCAAGAGGTCTTTCCACAGAAAGGTGAATAAACCTTATAAGAAACAGAATATCAATTGGTGGAAAAGACCTATAATAAATACGGTCATTGTTAATGCGTTTGTAATCAAGTTTTCCCTATAAATATCAATGTAAAAATGCATCATCAATATAAAAAAAGCAGTCCGACGGAATTCAACAACATATGCAAATAATTTCCATTAATTACTTAGACGTTGCGCACGGTGTTAGTGTCAGTTTCAGTAATGTCAAAATGAGTTAAGTTCTAGAAAAATAATTTGACGTTACTTTATTGCTAACATTTTTTATGAAGGAAAAATAAATATCCAGTAAAGTCTCCAATAATATAATAAAGTTAATTGAAACACTTGTAATAAAATTCTCTGCCCTTCTGCTTGCATTTCGGGAGGAAAATATAGGCATGATTTATCTCATTCAATAAAAAGCTTGGTAGAAATAACAACACTTGTTCGACGTCGCGGTTTATAAAGCGTAAACTGCCCCAACCCAGTTTATACCGTATAAAATGGGTAGCTATTAAATTCATTGCTTATAATTTAATTTTCACTTTTGATGTTGATTGTTCTAACAAAGTGACTTTAGTTTGTACAAAATTTGAATGTAACGTCAGGCGGATTGATACGTTTTTGACGTAAGTCATTGTGACGTAGGCAACCCATTTTATACGATATGAAGTAAATTTTTTATCCAATCAAATACAGCGTTACAACCAGAATTAAATTATTTTCAAATAATTTTTTTATTTTTTATACTTTTTATTTTATTGAGATAAATTCAAAACAATTCCATATCATATCAGTAGGCCCTAGAACCTGTCCTTTGTTTTCAGTAAATTGCACGATTGTAGAACTATATGTTGCTGATTTAGCATTGAATTAACTTTTTTCGTTCAAAGTCCCTTTCCCATCTCATCTTTAGCCCCAACCATCACATAGACCCTTACAAACTGAGTACTTTTCTCTACAGTAGATCTAAATATTTCAAACAACTCATGTTTTAAAAAAGAAAGGAATCGAACACCCCCCCCCCCCCCCCCTTCCACCATCACTTTTAGTTCTTTGAAGTGCAATTAAGAGGTTTCCGTTGTATTTATTCAAAGAATATTTCAGTTTTCTCCTCTCTGTCCCCCCTTTTTTATATGCGCTGTAACGTACATGTATGTCTGGTATATCGATAAAGTGTACTAGACTAAGTATACACTGCACATGTTTTGCTTTTATATATTATAAATACAACTTTCAGAACTTAAAAAATATTCTTAAAATTATTCATTATTGGTATATTTTTCTTTCATCCACATCAGGCTTATCAGCAATAAAAGTAAGTTTTTTGGAGAAAAAAAATCTTTTGCGCTTTAAATTACATTTTATGCATTGGACGTAATAACGTCAAAACGCCATATTTTTATGGGTCTGTGACATATTGTGTTGACATTTATTTTTTGTTAGGATTTCGTCACCATTCTATTAAAATTGTGTTGGAATATACTGATAACTTTTTGAAAAGATGCACATTTAATAAAAATCCTCTAATTTTCAATATGTCTACTTTTAATGACTACATATATCCAGCTTTATATCACCACATTTATACAACAATAGTCAGATTTATTACTTTTGGACAATGTGTGACATTTATGCAGGTTTTTTTTTAGGGGTCGTAGGGGGCCTGTATAAGGCCCCATTCCCAATGGTAAAAAGTATGTGTTTTTCCCAATTTCATTGAAGAAAATTCCCAAAAGAGAATCGAAACAAACAAACCAGTTAAAAAATGTTCAAACGCAGTAACATTTTTATCAAAAGTGTTGTTCCAAATAAAAATCTAAAAGGCATTCTCCCAAAACTGATTGACTGAATGCAAAATAAGTCAAAGAAATACTTTGCAAATAAAATATAAACCCTCTTATTTGAATTTATATAGAAAAATATTATATATGATACTTTTCCCAATATCAACCAAATGTCGCTATTTTTCCCAATTGGAAAGGCCCAGGCCCTTGTTTTTAAGACCTAGAAAAAACCCTGTTATGTTGACATTGTAAAAAACTTAGTATAATGTTAGTAGTAATCACCTGAGCTGGGGTATTTCGGGTTTCTGTAAATCAAGAGCCTCCAAGGGCCTCCACAAGCCTCGTTACTTCCCTTACATTTCATCATGCATTCTTTCATTGGTTTACTTATCTTGAACCGCATGGTATTCCCACAATAACACTCATTAGCATGCTGCAATTTAAAAAAAATCATTTAAAATTAAAATATTGTAAAATCACATATTTTCGCGGGGTAAAATTTTCCAGGTTTGAAGAAAAAATATTTGTTTGTGAGGATTGGAATTCGTGGTTGGAAAATGTTTAGTAGTAATGTATAGGAAATTGTACATGTCAAGGAAGTCATGAATTCTTGGGTCTCTCCATACTTATAGAAAATAACGAAAATTAAACCCCCACGAAAATAAGTGAATTCACAGTATCAACTTTATTACGCTTTAGCATTTCATTATTAGTTTGAACACATATATGGAATATCATTTCTATAAAACGTTGAAACAATAAAGGAAAATTACTTGAAGACCGTAAAATTTTTTTTTTTCTCCCGCACATCTTTGTTTACAGCGGCCGACTGTCATGTGTTTACTCAACATTGGTCGTCCAGAAAAAACCCTTCTCTTAGAGTCCTGGTAGCAGCCAAGCATACCTGAAAGAAAAAAATATTAGTTTTAGTCTCCGTAATTTTAAATATTTTTAGCTTCTTTTTCCCCGAGTTTTTCTAACAGCTGCGCTTATCTAAATAAGATTCCTGGTTTACAGGTTCGGGAAAAATTTTTACAGAGCATCAGATTTACCAAAAGACGGCTAGATCGACTTATCAATAATTCAACCTGTCAAGTCGAAATGCCAGAACAAAAAAATGCAAAGAAGAAAAAAATATTAAAACTTTCAAAACCCTACAAGTCGTATTGTTAACTGTTAAGTAGGCCAATACTTGCACTATGTCACTTACGAATTGTAAAAACCAGGGTTTCAGATTGGCATCGGCCATCGGCCATTCGCCGATAAAAATTCAAAATGGCAGGAAAAAATCAAATTTACCTGCCAAAATGGCCTATAAGTTTAACATTGAACAGACATAATGGCCGATTATTTTCTGTATGTAAAGGCCAGTCGTATAGTTTTTCCACCATTCAGATCCGATTGTTTCTTTTACTACTTTCTGCAATTGCAGATTCAATCAGCCATAGGTATTCGGGTATTAGATCTTGACAAAAAATACTCAAATTTTATTTCCAAATCCTTGTGCAAAGAGCATAAAAGTAGTGATAAATGTTTAAAACATCGAAGGAATCCATGCCATGTTGATACTTTTACCGCCATTATTGAATATGGGGTCAGACTAATAACAGGAAACGGACAATAGTGCAAAATTTTACAATACAAAGGAAAACCTTTTTAGTCTAGGCAATCTGTAAACGTAATTATGTACATATAATCAGAAATACAAGTCTGGATAACTATTTTTTAAACTTGTAATCCAAAGAAATATAAATACATGTACATAAAATGAAAGGTAGGACTAATATAAGTAAAATACCCATTGAATGGAAATTAAAAAAAAATCCAATTCCCATTCTTTTTCAATATATTGATTTTGTTTAAAAGAAACAAAATATTATTTTCCACTTTATTAAAAGGAAAATTAATAAACATTATTGAATATTGTGTGTAATTAATTGATTTTTTTGTAAATGTCTGACAGAAATCTGAGTAAGTTTAACTTTTCTATTGGCCTATAATTTTAGGAAGTTTAGGACAGAATGGCCTATAACTTTTCTGGTAAATATGCCATATGTCCTATAGTTACTTATTTCAATCTGAAACCCTGAAAAACATGGCAATATTTATCTTGAATAATACTACTAATAATTATTACATTACACGCATACCCCCCTGTCCCTACCGGCCCTGCAAACCCATCACTAACGTTGCAATATTATCTTTATACTCTGTTCACATGGAGAGTTTAATTCGAAGTAAATTAATGTGAAGTAAATTAATGTGAAGTAAATTAATTCGAATTAAAATAATGTGAATTAAATTGCGTTCACACAACAGCTACAGCGAATTAAACTTATGCGAATCAAAATTTTATTCTACAAAAATGCTACTCAGTAAGGCTATTATGACGTCATTTGTAAACCACGTCATTTATGCAGAGCCATCCATTTGATATAACAATCATAATGGCTACAGGTATGCATTTAGTGATTATCATACTTTTCCTTGATTTTTTAACCAAATATAGCACAGATACCTATATCTAACCACCAAAATGTGTCCTGTGACTTATGCCCTGTTCACACGGAGAGTTTAATTTGCAGTAAATTAATGCAAAGTAAACTACTGCCAATTAAACTAATGCAAATTAAATTACGTTCACATGACAGCTAATGCGAAATAAACTAATGCGAATTAAAACTTTACTTCTGCAGCCCGGCTATTAAATGTATGACACCATTTGCAAATCACATCACCTTCATTAGAAGCAGATCCATTTGACATAATGTCACAGTGTCTGTACACACATTCTAATGATTAACAAAAGTTTCCTTAGTTTTTCACTCAAAAATAGCGCAAGTACCTATAGCTGACCATCGGCAAGTGGTATTTGACTAAATTTTGCCATTAAGCATGCGTCGGAATTTAATTCCAATTAGCTTCGCTTAGCATTCACACGGAGCTAATGTTAAGTAATTTAATGTGCAGTAAACTAATTCGAATTAAACTAATTCGCATTAAATTCTCCGTGTGAACGCTAAGCGAAGCTAATTCGCATTAACTTTACGTTTAATTCGAATTAATACCCTGTTTACACGACGAGTTTAATTCGCAGTAAATAAATGCGAAGTAAACTAATGCGAATCAAATTAATGCAAATAATGCCCTGTTCACACGTCGAGTTTAATTTGCAGTAAATTAATGCGAAGTAAACTAATGCAAATAAAAATAATGCGAATTAAATTGCATTCACACGAAAGCTAATGCGAAGTAAACTAATGCGAATTAAAATTCTACTTCTACAGCCAGGCGGCAGTAAGGCTATTATGACGTCATTTGCAAATCACGTCACCTTATGCAGGAGCAGATGCATTTGACATAATGTTACAGTGTCTATACACACATTTTAGTGATTAACACGATTTTCCTTAGTTTTTCACTCAAAAATAGCACAAATACTTGAAGGTGACCACGGGCATGTGTCATTTGACCTAATTTTGCCATTATGCATGCTTCAAAATTTAATTCGAATTAGCTTCGCTTAGCGTTCACACTGAGCTAATGCGAAGTAATTTAATGCGCAGTAAACTAATTCGAATAAAACTAATTCGCATTCAATTTTCCGTGTGAACGCTAAGTGAAGCTAATTCACAGTAACTTTACGTTTAATTCGAATTAAATTCTCCGTGTGAACAGGGCATTAAATTGCGTTCAAATGACAGCTAATGCGAAGTAAATTAATGCGAATTAAAATTTTTCTTCTACAGTCAGGCGTTAGTAAGTCTATTATGACGTCATTTGTAAATCACGTCATGTATGCAGAGTCATCCTTTGATACATCATGTAGTGACTACAGGTATTCATTGATTTTAGTGATTAACATATTTTCCCTCAATTTTTTAACCAAATATAGCACAAATACCTATATATAACCACAAACACGTGTCCTGTGACATAATTCTGGCCTTACGCATGCCTCAAAATTTAATTCGAATTAGCTTCGCTTAGCGTTCACACGGAGCTAATGCGAAGTAATTTAATGCGCAGTAAACTAATTCGAAGTAAATTAATGCCCTGTTCTCACGACATGTTTAATTCGCAGAAAATTAATGCGAAGTAAACTAATGCGAATCAAACTAATGCGAATTAAATTGCATTCACACGACAGTTAATGCGAAGTAAACTAATGCAAATTAAAATTTTACTTTGACAGTCAGGCGTGAGGAAGGCTATTATGACGTCATTTGCAAATCACGTCACCTTATGCAGAAGGAAATGCATTTGACATCATGTCACAGTGTCTGGAGATATATTTTAGTGATTAACAATTTTTCCTAGTTTTTCACTCAAAAATAGCACAAGTACTTAAAGCTGACCACCGACATGACGCATTTGACTTAATTTTGCCATTATGCATGCCCCAAAATTTAATTTGAATTAGCTTCGCTTAGCGTTCACACGGAGCTAATTTGAAGTAATTTAATACGCAGTAAACTAATGCGAAGTAAACTAATTCGCATTAAATTTTCCGTGTGAACGCTAAGCGAAGCTAATTCGCAGTAAACTTACGTTTCATCGAATTAAACTCTCCGTGTGAACAGGGCATAATTTGCATTAAATTCTCCGAATGAACGCTAAGCAAAGCTAATTCGCAGTAACTTTACGTTTAATTCGAATTAAACTCTCCATGTGAACAGGGCATGAATTCTCTGTGTGAATAGGGCATTAATTTTGGCCCTATAAATTTGTCAAAATTTAATTCGAATTAGCTTCGCTTAGCTTTCACACTGAGCTAATGCGAATAAATTTATGCCCTGTTCACACAGCGAGTTTAATTCGCAGTTAATTAATGCAAAGTAAACTAATGCGAATCAAACTAATCCAAATTAAATCGCGTTCACACGACAGCTAATGCGAAGTAAACTAATGCGATTTAAAATTCTACTTCTACGGCCAGGCGTCAGTAAGGTTATTTTGAAGTCATTACAAATTACATCACCTAATGCAAGAGCAGATGCATTTGACATATAAATGTATTTTCACTATATAATCAATAGAGCAACACCCTAACACCAGAAGCCCTGACCCTGGAGCAATAAAATTCACAATTTTAGAAGAGACACTCTTGCTCATCATAACTATGTACTTAGTTTATTTAATACCTAGGAGCAGAGAAGAAGATTATCAAAGATTTAATGCATTTTCACTATATAATCAATAGAGCCCCGTCCTAACACCAGAACCCCTGACCCTGGAGCCATAAAATTCAAAATTTTGGTAGAAGCACTCTTGCTCATCATAACTATGTACTTAATTAGTTTATTTAATACTCAGGAGTAGAGAAGAAGATTTTCAAAGAAATAATGCATTTTCACTAAATAATCAATAGAGCCCCACCTTAACACTAGAAGCCCTGACCCTGCATGGGGCCATAAAATTCACAATTTTGGTTGAGGCACTCTTGCTCTTCATAAGTTAACAATGTACTTAGTTTAATTAATACCTAGGAGCAGAGAAGAAGATCATCAAAGAATTAATGTATTTTCACTATATAATCAATAGAGCCACACCCTAACACCAGAAGCCCTGACCCCGGAGGGGTACCTGTAAAGTGCGAAACGAAATAGAAACGAAACGAAACGAACTGAAACGAAACGAAATCTGCCAAAACGAAACGAAATCTACCGAAACGAAACGAAACCTACCGAAACGAAATGAAATCAAGACGAAACCAAACGAAATCAAAACGAAACCTGCCGAAACGAAACGAAACAAAACTTTCAGAATGTTTACATGGTCTATTTTTACTCCATATGAAATTTATATAGTTCAAGCACCACAGGCAATTGTTTCGCTTCAAGTTCCTACACAGGCGTCGGAAGGAAATTGAAAGTTGGGGGGGGGGGGGGGGCTTAACAAACA